AATTTGTTCATGCAAGTAACAAGTATGTATTGAGTGCCTACTCATCCCAGGGACTGTTGTAAAAGTGGGAAAATAGCAGGAAATAAAATAAAATCCCTGTCTAATGGAGCTCACGTTTTAGTAGGAAAGATCAGCAGTAAACAGATTTGGAAACTACACATTTGTGCACACACACAAAAGTTCAGGTTTTGATTTGATCTATGAAGAAGAATAAAGTAAGAGTGATCTGAAGTTGGTGCTTTTGTAGTTAGTGAAGGGTGGCCAGGAAAGGTCTTGCTGAAGCATTGGCATTTGGGTACAGATCTGAAAGAAATGAGAAAATGGCACACAGTGGTCAGTAAATATTTGTGAAATGTGAATGATGCAAATGTCTGGGAAGAAAATATCCCAAGGAGAGGCAATAGCAAGTGCAAAGGCCCTGTGGCAGGATTACTTGGCATGTTTTAAAAGCATTAAGAAGGCTCTGTGAATATTTATACTGTAGTTTTTAGGCGTAAAGTGTACTGATGTCTGCAACTTACTTTAAAATTCATTAAAAAATTAGATGGATGGATGGATAGATAGAGGGATGGACAGATATATGCTTATGTTAGTATAGTAAAATGTTCATAGTAGCATTTAGGTGGTAGGTATATGAATATTCACCGTAAAATTCTTTCAGTTTTACTTTGTGTTTGAAAAGTATCATAATGCAGTGTTGGCGGAGAAACATCAGGAAGTCTAGTGAGGCTGGAGCAGGCTGAGGGAAGGAGAGAGTAGTCAGAGAGAAGGCCACTGAGGTCTCCAGGGCCCAGAGCATGGAGGGCCTCATAAGCTGTGAGGAGACATTTGTGTTTTTTTTCTAAGCACAATGGGAAGCCTTCAGAGGGATTTGAACAAGAGAGTTTCATGATCTAATTTATGACTTTAAAAGATCCCTCTGGCTGCTGTGGGGAGAAATGCAAGCAAGAATGAAAGCAAGGAGGCCAGGTAGAGGGACAGTGGTGGTCTGGACCAGGGGGGTGGCAGTGGAGGTGGTGAGGCTGGTCAGATTCAGGGGGCAATTTGAAGGAGCTGCTGATGGATTAGATATGCATTGCCCAAGAGCAGGGCTTTGGCCTCAGCAGGGCAGATGGTGGTTCTTTTTCCTAAGATGGGGAAGATGAGGGAATGAAGTAAGTTTGGGGAAGGGTGTGTGGGAGAGTGGTAAGAGGGAGAATCACATGTTCTATTTTAGGTGTGAAAAAAACAAATAATAGACTTCCTAATGAATGGTAGCTATTATCACTGTTTCTACCCCGCACGATTACATAGTGACCTCTGCAAACACACGAGCTCTGTCTTAGCTTGCAGCTTAGCTCTACTCATCTTTTCTTCTTTTCTCCCCCTTACATTTTCCACTTTTCCTCGCTCCTCCACCTGCCACTCCAGACCACCACCAGTGACTGCTGGAGCCTCTGGAAATGAGCAAGCCTCTGCCCGGTCGGCTCCTTCAGCATTATGGGGGGTGGGATCAGAGGAAGCCCTTGGGGTCAAACCTGAGAGCATGCAGACCATGGGGTTCAGCTCATGGGCTTGCAAAACCCTCTGGCCTTTCTGTCTCTGTAGCTAGGCAGACACACAGGTCACCAGGTGGTGCTAACACATGGCTGGCGTGAGATTCAAAGACGCAGCAGAAAGAAGCACGGAGATCTCTCCATTTTATTGAGAAGATGACTCTGAGTCCAGATCTGAGTTCATTTGACCCATTTAGCCGGGCTGTCATTTTGCATCAACTATGTCAGAACAGCAGGTAAAGACATTTGTCAGGTAGCCAGCTGGGGAAAGCTGACTTAACTGTCAGAGGCCTGCTGTCTGCAGAAGGCTGTCCCAGGCACTGAGGGCTGGGTCCACCAAGAGGCCACTGCATCTCATGGAGGCACTGGCTCAGTCTTCTTGAGCCACCTGCTCACAGAGAGGAGTCCTAGTGTGCCTGCATGAGTTGGGGATTAACAGGGAGGGATGATTTCCATGCTGCTCATGGCCCTTAGGAGTCATTAACTCTGGTAACAACAACAACTAACTCTCCTATGAAGCTAATTGTGTGCCAGGCACCGTTACAAGCACTTCATGTGTAATAACTCGTTTAATCCTATGACAGCCCTATAAGGTAGGTACTATTATTATCATTCCCATTTTACAGATGAGGAAATGGAGGCTTAGAAAAGAGAACTAAGTTGTTCAAGGTCACACAGGTAAAAAGTGGCAAAGCCAGGTATCGTGGCTTTGCCACTTTTTACCTGTGTAAAACTCCATGATGGACAGGTGGACAGGCTGCGTGGGCAGAATCAAGATAATCCACGAGGACAGGAGAAGAGACAGTCCCATGGATGCTTGGCACAGGGAAGGTATCTGCAGGATAGAGAGAGCAGGGGCCACCTTTGTTACTCTTTTGTTTATTAGAATTTAATAGATCTGTCTGTCTATATAGGTATGTATATATATATATATATATATATATATATGCATTCTCTTTATAATATTAAACATCTTTGTGCTTGCTTTAAAATACAAATACATTAACACTTATACATGACCCATTTTCTACCGTTTTCTACCCATTTTCACCTCTCAGGGTACAAGCTATAACAGAGGTTAAATAAATCATAGGCTTAACTGTCCTGCTCCCCCAAAAGTCTCCTTCCCAAAGACCACTAGCTGCATGGTCTTGAGCAAAACACTTAAATTCTCTGCAGCTCAGATTTCTTTGTGTAGACGCACCCCATAAGCTAAAGCCATTAGTAATTATAATCATAATCACAAGAGCCACTATCAGCTGAATACCTAATGTATTGTATGTCTGTGCTATGCTGAGCACTTTCACGTATCTCTCTTTTTTTTTAATGTATTGAAGTCTCGTGTCTTTCTTCTTTTAGATATAATTGATATATAACAGTTTATTAGTATCAGGTATATAGCATGATGTTTCGATATATGTATATATTATGAAATGATCGCCACAATAAATCAGGTTTAACATCCATCACCACACAGAGTTACTTTTTTTTTCTTCTGATGAGAACTTTTAAGACCTACTCTCTTAGTAATTTTCAAATATATACCACAATTTATAGTCACTGTGTTGTATATTACATCCTATGATTTACTGATCTTATGACTGGGAGTTTGTACCTTTTGACTCCCTTCACCCATTTCGTCCACCCCCATCTCTGGTAACCACCAGTCTGTTCTCTGTATCAGTGAGTTTGGTTTGTTTTTGATTTCAGATTCCACATAAAAGTGAGATCATACACTATTTGTCTTCTTCTGTCTGACTTATTTTACTTAGCATAACACCCTCAAGGTCCATTCCTGTTGCTGCAAATGGCAGGATTTCCTTCTTTTTTTACGGCCAAATAATTTTCCATTGTTTATATACACCAATCTTCTTTATCCATTCATCTGTCGATGGACATTTTGGTTGCTTCCATGTCTTGGCTATTGTAAATAGTGCTGCAGTGAACTTGGGGGTGCAGGTATCCTTTCAAGTTTAGTGTTTTCATTTCCTGTGGATAAATACCCAGAAGTGGAATTGCTGGATCGCATGGTAGTTCTATTTTTAAATTTTGGAGGAAACTCCATACTGTTTTCTGTAGGGGCTGCACCAATTTATTTCCCACCAGCAGTGCATAAGGGTTTCCTTTTCTCCACATCCTCGCCAACTCTTATCGTTTCTTGTCTTTCTCATAATAGCCATTCTAACAGGTATGAGGTGATATCTCATGGTTTTGACTTTTGATTTGCATTTTCCTGATGATTAATGATGTTGAGCATCTTTTCATGCACCTGTTGGCCATCTTTTTGTCTTCTTTCATGGATTATCGTTTAATCCTCCTAAAGGCAACTGAGATGTACAGAAATTATGTAACCTGCCTGCGGTCACACAAGCAAGAGGTGACAGAGCTGGGCAGTAGAAGTGTCTCAAGGGCAAGAGCTATGTTCTCATTGCTTAACTCAGGCAGGGCCTGTCACTGACCAGAGAAGAATAAAGCTTTGATGGGTAAACGTGCGTGTGCAAAGAGATATGCTTGATCTATAGCCCCCATAAGAATTCTCCCGCTCCCCAAATTAAGTTCTTGGATGAGTGTGTTAGTCAGCTCAGGCTGCCATAATAGAATACCACAGACTTGAGGGGCTTAAACAACAGAAATATATTTCCTCACAGTTCAGGGGGCTAGAAGTCCAAGATCAAGGTGCCATTAGGGTTGGGTTCTGCTGTTGTCTCTCTTCCTGGCTTGTAGACAGCTGCCTTCTCACTGTGTCCTCACAAGGCCTTTCCACTGTGCACGTGAAGAGACAGAAAGAGAGATCTCCGACGTCTCTTCCTCTTCTCAGAGTGACACCAGTTCTATCAGATTAGGGCCCCACCCTTATGACCTCACTTAAGCTTAATTACTTCCTAAACACCTCATCTCCAAATACCATTACACTGGAAGTGAGGGCTGTAACATTTAGATTTGAGGGAAGACAGAATTCAGTCCATGACAATGAGCTCTGAAGAGAAGCTTCTGGGAACCCTTAAAAATTGTGTACAATATTTTGCATGGAAGGGAATCCATATATAACATCTGTTTGACTTCCCAAAAGGTAAGAACCACTGGTGGTATTATAAGTGAACAAAGAGGGAAAGGGTTCGTGGAAAAATGGAAACAGAGCTGGCATTAAGGGATAGAAGAAAAAGAAATTTCTTATAATATTGTTTTAATAAGTGTTAAAAAGTGGAGAACAAGAGGGGCAGTGGAAGGTAAGGATGTAGTATTTCAGCCCCATTTTCCATTTGGGGAAGTTAGATGGCCTGCCTGAGATCACAGCATGGAGAGTGGATCTGAGCCTAGAACCCAGTATCCTGAGCCCCAGCCCACGCTGTTTTCACCAGGCTTGTTGTCTGTGCTGCCCCACAGAAGCCAGGGCCATCTGAGTGAAGCTCCTGGGCTGCTCTTCTGCTGACCTCATAGATGCTCTTCCCCTTGCTTTCCTTCTAGAAGTGGAGCAGATCGAGGCCATCGCCAAGTTTGACTACGTGGGGCGGTCCCCGCGTGAGCTGTCCTTCAAGAAGGGAGCCTCACTGCTACTGTACCACCGCGCCTCCGAGGACTGGTGGGAGGGTCGTCACAACGGCGTGGATGGGCTCATCCCACATCAGTACATAGTTGTACAGGACATGTGAGTGGGAATTGGGATCTTCTGTGAAGAATGCCATGATTGATTAGTGATGTCTGGAATGGGCACAGGAATGAGAGTACCGGATTGTATGACAGCAATTTGCTCTCCCTGGTATGACACACTTGGTCTTCCATAAGAATGGAATGTCTAACCTCCCTTTGAATGGTGACCCACTTAACAAATAAGCAAATTGCTCATCCTTCAGAGTCCACAGGGACCATGTTTGGTGCCCTTGGCTCACCATCCCGGCCCACCTGACGGCCTCCAGGGCGTTGATCACCCACTATGGTTCTCAGTGTCCAGTGAATCTTGCCATATACCTCCACCGTCCTGGGCCTTTCCTGTAGCCAGTGGCCATTCCCACTCCCCTCTTAATAGCCCACCATTCTCTACCCCGAGGTGGCTGTCTCAGTAGATGGGCAGAAACAATCATCCCCTCATTTCCAGCTAAGAGGGTACTATTTTTTAAAAAAGAATTTTAGGCATTAAAAAAAAGCCCTACATCCCAAATACCTAGCCCCACCATAATGCCCAGAAAGTCTACACCTTCCATCCTTTGAAAGCCTTTGAAGGTTCCTGCACACGCTCCCTCCGAGCTCCAGTCTGCCTCAGGTGGAACTGATTTACCAAGGAAGCAGCCACCAAGCTGGGCCTCAAGGGGAGGCGGCCAAAGGCATACGTCTTGATGGCAGAGGGGACGGTCTGGAGACAGAGAAAAGTCCAGAGCTCGGCAAACAACAATACGATCCAAAGCAGCTCTCTGACGTCCCCAGGCCTCTGAGGGCAGGGAGAGGGCATGGGGGGGAGGCGGGCAGGGCACCCCAACAAGCTCCAGGCCCCCCACACCTGTTCAAAGCCCTGGGTGCGGAGAGGGATGGAGATGCCTTCCTCTTCCCTCGCTGGACCCCCAAACTGCTGCTCATCGCCCAGGGCTCAGCTTGCAGGCCCCCCTCCCCCATTTCTCCAGCACACCCTCCCCTTTAGCTCATCCCAGTCTTGAGCAGCTGGGAGAGAAGAGCCTAGATGAGGGGAGGAGAAGGTAGGCCCTGGTGGTGCCACAGAGGGCCTCCTGCTGGAGGAGCAGCAGCGGCTCAACCACGAGGTGTGTGTGGGTCCAGCCCCTCAGGTCTCAGCACATGTCGGTTCTCTGGAGCGAATCCCTCCCAGTTCACATCTGTCCTTCTCCCCAGGGACGATGCCTTCTCGGATGGCCTGAGCCAAAAGGCCGACAGCGAGGCCAGCAGCGGGCCACTGCTGGACGACAAGGCCTCCTCCAGAAACGACCTCCAGTCCCCCACGGAGCACATCTCGGATTACGGCTTTGGGGGGGTGATGGGCCGGTAGGAAACGCGGATTCATTCTTTGTGGCTCATACAGTGCCGGTTTGTGTCTGACTGGGGAGAAGCAAGGGCACAGGAGG